TCCCTATATCCGGAAAATGTATGAAAAATAAATTATTGCAATTGAAAACTATTTAAATATTGACGGATCCCTATATCCGGAAAATTTATGAAAAATAAATTATTACAATTGGAAATTATTTAAATATTGACGGAACCCTATATCCGGAAAATTTACAAAAAATAAATTATTGCAATTAAAAATTATTTAAATATTGACAGATCCCTATAACCGAAAAATTTATGAAAAATAAATTATTGCAATTGAAAACTATTTAAATATTGACGGATTCCTATATCCGGAAAATTTATGAAAAATAAATTATTACAATTGGAAATTATTTAAATATTGACGGAACCCTATATCCGGAAAATTTACAAAAAATAAATTATTGCAATTAAAAATTATTTAAATATTGACAGATCCCTAAAACCGAAAAATTTATGAAAAATAAATTATTACAATTGGAAATTATTTAAATGTAGGGAAATGCTTATGGTTCATTAGCGGAGGAGGCTAAGCGGTCTGGGAATTATGAAACTCTCGGTATACGGAAAATTTATTTAAATTAAATTACTACAACTGAAAACTAATTAAATCATAATGGATCCCTGCATCCGGTAAATTTATTGAAAATAAATTAAAACTATATAAATCGGAAATTATGTACACCCGATATATGGAAGGTATGTTTTTCCAAAATCCCGAAATTAAAATAAATATTCTGGTCAAAATAGTAAAACAAAAAAAAAAACGATAATTAATTAAAACGGATTAATTAAATTTTTTTAACAAACGGCTACCAACTCATAAAAATGAAGGAAAAATGGGTAATTACGACTCTCCCGGTATACGGAAAATTTATTAAAAATAAAGTTTGCTATTAACACCATTAACCCACTTACAATTTACGTTCAGAGAAGGAAAACCTACTATACAATGAAACAAAGTTGTCGGAACCCCCTCGTATCTTAACCATGAGCGATGGGAAGCGAAAATCTTCGTCGAGTGAGAAACATGGGTATTTATGCGGTGTTTTGGACGGCGGAGGTGACGATCGTAGAAAATAATATTTTGAAATTTGCCCAAAGTCGATCGAGAGCGTGTGTGAATTTAATTTTACAGAAGTCGTCTGGCTTTATTCAATAACTAATTGTGAACGGGGAACGGAATGATTCAAATACAGCTGAATAAAAAATTAAAAGAGAAGAAATTTTACATGAAGTGAGGCGCGGAAATTAATTTAACACATTCACCGCCAAGCCAATTTTCATAAAACTTCCCAGCACGCCATCCATAAGAGCGACTCAGCGGACACCGGTGTCCGCTCTGGCGCCATGCTTAAAAAAAGCATTTTTCCCTCGCATCACGCCAGGGCGGACAAAATTTTTCCGATTTTACCACGCCACAGCGGACACAATAGCGGATACAAATATCTCAGCGGGCACGTCGTATCAGGTCTGTTTTCCGAAGCGGTTCGCGCGCCAAATGTCTTGCTAAGCTCAGTATTGAATAAATTAGCGTAGTAGTTTTTTATCACAAGTTTTTTTTATTTTGTTTTTTCATAAAGTGACAATGAGCAGCAAATCGAGACATATTATGTCCCTTGTGGAATGTTTTAATAAGGACCATAATAAATAAGTTTTTTTTGCCATTTTGTTTTAATACTAAAAAATGTTAAAATGTATGTACCTATAAAACAATATATTTTTTTAGTTATTTGTTATAAATAACGAGAATTTTCTTGATATGTGTTTTTGTTTTAAGAATTGTTAAAAATGCTTAAGTTATATTGTGGCTAGTTGTACATAATATAACCATATTCAATAAGTTTTTTGATATTTTATTTTGTATAGAATGTTAAATGTTTCAATAAAACAATAAAATTTTAGTAGTTAGTTTACATTTCCATTGAAAAAAAAAATTGTCAGCTCTGGCGCCTAGAGTTTAGCTGTTTTAAAAACTTTTTTACACGCCACAGCGGACACAATAGCGGACACAGTCCATAAAATTTAAACAAAACTCTATTTCAAAAAACCACGGTCGGTAGGCCATTCTAGAGGCCTAAAAAGAATAAGTTATAATGGAACATTTACAAAATTCAGAATTTTCGAGGAAATATCAACCACTAAACCTGGCGGACACCGGTGTCCGCCCTGGCGTGATGCGACGACCACGCAGCGGACACCAGTGTCCGCCCTGGCGGTGAATGTGTTAAACGTCTTTTTGGGAAATTAGATAACGTCATCAGGAGAGAGAGCATTCTAACCCGGGAACGGATCGAACCTCCGAAAAAGAAAATAAAACAAAATAATAAAAAAAAATTGGAAACAGGTTTAACCTCTCACTTCGATGTTAACTGGGCGGTTTTTAAGAGAAATTGGATATAGTCGTTGACAATGAGAGCACTCAGAGTCTAGCCTATGTCCAGTCTCAAATAAAAATTGCCAACGGTTTCCCACTGAGGGATGAAATGAAATATCCTGGATATGAACCAACATTTTTCACTTGTCGCACGGGTGTTCCAACTAATTATATAAAAGTCAATATAAAAAAATCATATACGGTTCCTACCTTAGCAGATAAACGGGGTTATTCAATGACCTTCAGAAATCACGGCACTCACGGAGTGTTTCACTAGGTATTATAGAAGGGCGAATAGTTTTCGGCTGTCGGCAATCAAGAGAGAGAAGAACTTACGGAGACCGACAATCAAGAGAGTATAATTCTCAGATGTGATTGAATTTATGCTTTTAGGTAAACCTGAGTGGGGGATACCACTACTACAGCCGACTGTTTACAATTTAAAAATAAAAAAAAATGTCCTTCTAGTACCTTGACAAATAAAGGTAGATAATTCATACGAAATCGACTCTACAAAATACCCATTCGGATTTCGACATATATAAGAATATTTTAACCTACGAGGGTACTCGCAATTGTTGAAAAATGGTAATTCCTGGGAAACAGAAATCTTCTACATGTCCTCAGGCGGGAATTAATTAAAATATTAATTTTTAAATTAATTGAGTGCAAAATTTAGTGACTTCGTCATAAACTTTTTTATATTACAAAAAATCTTGAATCCGAAGATGTTTTATCAGAATCATCAATGCAAAGTGATGTGGATTTCGATAAAAGTTTAATTTTTTCAACCTCCGCGGCAGAAATAATACTAACATTACCTTTCTTAGCAAAAGCGGTAGACCGAGCTGGATTTTCTAGCTGTAGAGGCGGAATGATAGCTAGTGCAGTTCTTGAAAATGTCGGACTGGTTACAAAAAGTGACACGACTTATGTCATTGACAAGTGTAAATTAGATCATCAAAGGAAAAAGGTACAACTTACTTCACAGAAAAATACACTGAAAAAGGACACTTATCCCCAAGCACTATATTTTGATGGCCGCAATGATCGTACCCTTTACATCGAAAAACAGGGAGATAGGTCATCGAGAAAAATTGTTGTAGAAGAACATGTCGTGTTATTACAGGAACTAGGTAGCGATTATATCAAACATGTAACACCTGAAAATGGTACTGCCAAGAATATTGCTTCTAGCTTTTTAAATTATTTTACAGAAGCTGGTATATTAACATCGGAACTAATTGCTATTGGCTGCAATAGTACAGTAGTAAACACTGGATGCAACGGTGGTGTCATACGTTTATTAGAATTAATCTCAAACGACAGTTGCAATTGGCTGATAAGTCAGTTACACGCAAACGAGCTGCCACTACGACATTTGATTCGCTATCTAGATGGAAATACGACAGGACCGGTTTCACTGTCAGATCCTGTTGGTAAACTTCTCGAGTCTTCTGAACAATTTCCTGTTGTGAGCTGTAATAAAATTGAGGTCGAGTTACCGAAGGTTAATATGAAAAAATTGAACTCCGACCAACATTATTTGTACCAGATATGTATTGCTATATCTAATGGAAATGATCAGCTAACTCAATATAGTTCAAGGAAGGATGTCCCACGATGGCTCATTACAGCTAACCGTATATTACAGGCTTATATTAAAATCAAGAAACCATCTGGTAATCTAATATTCTTACAGAGGACATTATGAAAGTATATGCAAAGGTTTGGTTCAGTATTAAACCTGCACCTTTATGTACCTCCGGGGCTTGTCACCTCTTGAAACTAATTCAAGAAATTTAAATGACGAATTAAAAGCAGTAATCGACCCCGTAATACAACGAAATGGTTTTTATGAGCACCCTGAAAATATATTAATTTCGATTCACGTCAATATAAACGAGAATTGGGATTTAGGAGAATATTAAATTGTAGATCCAAAGAAAAGAAAAACAAACAATCAAATAGTGTCGTCAAAAAATTTTGGATTCCTAACTTTAATTTTATTGCCGAAAATTACGTTGATTTGATAAACTGGCAGTGTACCGTCACAGAACCTCCGATGACAAAACACCTAACTGACAAAGAAATTCAAGATTTTATTGAAACCATTATAAGTTACATACTGTTTTCTTAATGACAGATAGGAAATAATTTGTTTGGAATTATAATAACGTCTTCTCTAAAATTGTAACTTTTACTTTGTGGATTATTAACTTAAAAATTAACGTAAATAGTCTTGACTAGTAAGAACGACAACTGTAGGAAGATAATAGTCTTTCTCCATACATAATATTAAAAGAAGATAAAAGATAGTACTACCTTTATCTGTGTTACTATTAGCATGAATACACCAAGCCGCGTGTTAAATGTTTTTAATTAATGTAATGCGTTGCTTTTAAACGCTCGTTAATTTTAAAAGCAGATTAAGTCTTAATACTAAATTACGTTTTTTTTTGTTTTAGCTCGTGTCATCTACACCCCCCACCAAACGCTTCAAGCTCTTAAGAAAACAGAACAACCCTACAACCAACATATCGCGTATACACACCTATAGCCGTCATGTGTTCTTCTTCAGTTCTTGGTACTAGGTTTATCGAAAACTGCACCACCAAATTCCGCCGATTATAATCGAATTAAACCGCTCAATAAAGATGCATTACCAAATCCTAGCCACCACGTTATGTTTCTTCTACTTCACCCACGGCTTCCTCTTAGACGGCTCGGCTAATTCGTTCTCGCAATTCAGAAAATGGGGTGGCGGCACCAACGGGAGTTTAGAGTTCGAATTCAAGACTGACCAGCCGAACGGGTTGCTGCTGTACACCGACGACGGTGGTACCTATGATTTTTTCGAGATAAAGCTAGTAGAGGGCGCGCTGCGGTTGCGGTACAATTTAGGTGGCGGTGCTCAGATCATCACGGTTGGTAGGGACCTGAATGACGGGCATTGGCACAAGGTGCACGTCCAAAGGCACGAAGACCGGACAATATTGACGGTGGACGGGGTGTCGCAGATGCGCACCTCCAGAGGAAAGGAGTTCAACTTCGGGCGGTTCACTACAAATTCGGACGTGTTTGTCGGCGGGATGCCCACGTGGTATAATACGAAATTGACGTTGCTCGCGTTGCCGAGTGTGATTTTCGAGCCGCGGTTTGTGGGGGCGGTCAGGAATTTGATTTATCCGGACGTGGAGGGCGGTACGCCGAGGAGGCAGGAGACCAGGCCTAAAGATCATAGGGTAAGTTGGTTTTTATTTGATTACCAAATTTTTGTTAGAGTTATTAAAGTTATAAATGGAGGGCTCATAGTAATTATATACTCTAAATATATGTAAACACCATTGTCGTCAAAAATACGTGAAGAATGCTGACAGGGGTGCCATATACATGCAATTGCAATATATGGCCGCCACTGAAAAAAATTTGTTGTCCTGTAGCCTCCAAACATTTCTACAACTATGGCACAATGACATATGACAGCGATCTTCACACTTTAATTTACTTCCTATTATTTCGGTATTCAGCTATAGTACGTATTTAGGTAGATAAAAACAAAACTCGAACCCTTGTTGTAATACAGGAAAAAAAACGCTTTCGAATTAGTGTCTGATCAAATAGGAGTGCTAGATATTTTATTTCATAATATTAGTGTACTTAAGAATATGACCTCGAAGATTTTAAATAGGTAAGTTTTCCAACAAGACCTTTTTTTACTCCATGTTTCCAATTTATTAAGCTGTTTCCTTTTATGAAAATAATAAGCTTATTTAAAAAAAATCGAGCGTAATTAGTGTGTCATTTAAGCCAATTAGAAATGATGTAGGGCTAATGATGGACCCTTCTGGTATCTCATTTTCTTGGCTTTTGGTGTTGGATAAATCTCCATTACTTTTAACTTGAAAGTATCTGTTAAGATAAAGTTTTAAAAGAAAGCTAATATACATCACTGATGACCCCAATATTTTTTTGTGATGACATGACATGTCGAAAGCTTTAAATATGTTGAAATAGATAGCCGTACACTTTTTATTATTACAAACACTTTATTTATGTTACTTATTGTAAAAGTAGTTATATAGTTAATACCCAAATATGTAAGGATGGATTAAACTGTCCCAAAACACACCGATTAATTAGCCTGACGTCGTTTTCCATGAAGACATTGGAAAGGCTATGCATAAGTGGTGATTATAATAACACCACTTCACCCAAATTAACATACATACACCCTAGACAGATCTACTGATTCAGCCCTTCACCTAGTTGCTGGCCGGATAGAGAGATCCCTGGACAATAGATAATCCGCATTGTATTTTCATAGACATAGAAGGTGCTTTTATTAAGACCAACTTTACTCAGATATGTTACGGCCCTTCGACAATCTTATATATAATAGCGATTAATTCAAAGGAAATTATTAAATTCAATATTATTGTTCTTACTACGAATATAGTTTACGTTTAATTGTGTCCAACTTTTTGATAATTTTCTAAAAATTCTTATAGAACAGTTTATCATAAAAATTAATGTCCATTTTTATAATATTCTCTTTGCTTGTATTATTTGTTATGTTATTTTATTAATACAACAAGATTAAATATAAATATGTTTATTCTTAATTTATCTAACCATGTTACAAGATGACAAGATTCAAGCATGGATGATTGATGATGATCTGACAACCATCTGTCAAGTGTCTAATGTAGACAGGTAAACATAGAACACGAACTTAAATAAAGATATAACATCAGACTGTAAAAGAGGAACTTGCACAAATCAGAATATAGGATGCCAACTAATAGGCAATCAAGAATACACTATGTTACATTGCTTATATATAAATTAACCATAAAGTGGATATTTGGTATTTATTGTTTATTATTTTATGAAGATTTATAAATTAGGTTAATCATTTTAATTGACACCTCAGGTTTACCAAAATTATGGGAACTTTCAAATTAAGGTACCATGACCTTGACCATGAATCTAGCCTTTATTAATTAGCATATTAATACAGTAAAGGTATAATTTATTAGAATATCGAAAGCAAAAGAACAATGTTATGTTTTGTGGTTCAAATGGTACTATAGTATTGACCGTGAATCTGTCCTTTAGTAACGAAGCCAATAAAATAGTACAAATATAGTATATTGGAGTATTTGCAACAAAATAACATTATATTTGATTAATTATGAACTTTGATCTTGAGAAGGGATTTATTCTGGAAAATTTGAGAATGTTCTTCAATTTTGTTTTCTGACTTTAATCTGGGACGGTGTCCTGGCTCTTTCTGAGGTTTTAATAGTAAAAAAAAAAAATAAATTGGTAGAAATTTTATTGTGAGATATTAAATTACACTTTAAGTATTGTGTGGATCTCTTATCAATCAAAATATAACACTAAAAAAATTCACGTGGCCGCCCTACATCTCCAGGTAGGATATGACCTTCAGCATTTTTGCACGCATTCTTGCTTTTTTACGCGGCTTACCCGTATTTTTAATTATTCCAGGCGACTTTGTTCGCACATCCACTTGACACGCACACCGTACACTTTTACTCGCACGTTCTGCTATTTTTGCTACTACGTGAGTTTAGCAGCTGTATAGCACCACTGCTTTTACCACATACGTCCAAACAACGTCCAGAGTTGTACTTCAAACCACTGACTGCAGTAGCAGCACAAGGACGTCATTTACTTTTAAGTGCATGCCTAACACATCTGCTCGCTTACACCCCAGCCTCTCCATCACTAACAGTCCCCTTAGCCTGCTGTGGAACTCTAGGAGGCCGATAGAGAATATCCAGCTTAGTAGGTATCCAGGATTAATAAGGTCGAATAAATCCATTAAGGTTTACCACCAGCATCAACGCCACCTCCTACAAGTTCAATATTTAATAGTTTTATAATAAAATTAGACATTATAAACTTACCCTTAATGGCAAGAAACCCTTTAATTTAATCAATATTAGTTGTTAGCCACAAGTGTCGACACTAGCGGTAGTCATCTTTCTCCCTCTTTATCTCTTATAATATATCTAGAAATAGATTTTTATAGTAGTATATTGTAATATAACCAATGATTTATACTATTAGTATTCATAAGAATATCACTTACGAATTCTTTTGAAGCTAAAGCTAAAAATAAAACCTAATAAATTTGAATAAAGATTATAATTTATTAATTATATATTTACCAAGCCTTTTTTCCCTGAGATAAAAGGTAAAACCTACAATATTCGAATAAAGGTGACACCTTTTGTAACTAACAAATATACTCACTAATCAACAGAAATGTTCTACAGATGATTATTATATGGGGAGATAACATGCTCTCAAAGCGAGCAGTAAATATTAGTGTAGAAGATGTGAATATAAAAGGTTTGGTTGCAAGGCGATGTCCACAGGGAGGAGTGCTATCATCCCTACTGTGGCACATAGTCCTCGACAGCCGCCTCAATAAAGATAGACACCACACAATAGCGTATGCAGATGACCTTGTCATTATGCAAACAGGATATTTTGAGAACATGTTCTGCGAAAGAATGCAAGTTGCTTTCAAAATTATAGAAGAGTGGTGCAGGGAGCATTCACTGTCTATTAATCCCAAAAAGACAGAAATGGTCTTTTTACGAGGAAAAGGATGATATATCTTCCACAAAAGAGATATAAAGTTATAACAAGAGGCAGGTACGATCCATATCTACACTAATAGTTCTAAAACAAAACAAGGCTCGGGATGATCCTTAAACCTTAACATTTTTTAGATTCTCCTTTAAAAGCTGTTTCCAAAAATCGTAACACTTGTGATATAAATTATTTAAGTAGTTTAAGAATTACCGACAAATATTCTTCTTTTTATTCAGAAAAAAAGTAAATGTAAACAATTTTCTAAATCAGCTAATAACTATAAAATTAATAGTATATTATTTAACGAGCGGCAATGCAGGTCATAACTCATGCAGATGAAGTTTGCAGCACGAGCCGCAGGCGAGTGCTGTAATTCATCAATAGTTTAGTTTAGGATATATTAAGATAGAATAGTTTAGTTTAGGATAAAATAGTATATATTAGGCAAGAATTAGATATAAATTTAGTATAATCAATAACAAAATAAAAAAAACTATTTATTGTTTACACACTTTGCTGTTTTGGCTAAAACTATTCTAGATAGAATTTTTGACCCGTAACAAGGCGTTGGCAATTTAATAATTTTAAAATATTTTAAATATTCATTCCTTTCTATTTGTTAAAAATTACATATTTATCAGCTTTAAAATTTCCAAGTATTTACTGCGCACACTATTTACATACCGAATTATCGTAGAAGCCTAGCGTGAGTTATAATAACTCACTATTAAAACTCAAAATTATTTCAAAAAGATAATATTAAACTTAAATCATCTATATACTTCTGGATACGGCTTTTTATGCCAGTTTTTTCCAGAGCCCAATAACCTACTCTGCATAATATTTAAAGGTATAATAGGTACATGTTGTTAATACATCGTACAAGAGCCATATTATTAACATTTGCTTGAGAATACAAGGCGGCCTTTTGATCAGCCGGTAGACGGCCAGTGGGTTATTTAAAGTTCACAAAGGTATAAAGGTAAAACGTTTTTTAAAGCCCATTAAGCCTGATTGGATTTTAAAAATGGGCGATTCGGCTTATGCGTTTCGTTTTATTCCGAGAAATTTCAGCCGGAAGAGAACGATGAAATGCATAAATTAAAATTTAAATTAAGCAGAAAATTATTTTAAAAAAGATCATGTGCAAATCGAGTAAAGAATTATACAGGGTGTCCCTGAAAGGTCTATACATAATGCTATAGTAGAATCGCAATCGACACGGAGTAATAAATCAAAATTTTATGGAAGTTTTAGAGCACAGGTGGCTCAAACAAAATCTGTGATTTTAAAGAGCCAGCAGTTAATAGGTTTGGTTTGATTAAAAATTTTACCTGTGCCTCCCCGTTCTGTAAAATATAAACAATAGGCTACCCTTATTTTAATCCCTTTTAAGACTGATGAGCGATTGGTTGGGTAAATTAGGGGGTATTTGTTTGTTTGTATTATTTTTTTTTGTTACTATTTTAAACTTTAATAATTGTAATTTAACCACCGATTATAACATTTAGATATAAAATAGGTATGCTTACCTACACTCGAAGATCAGGTCACGTGGAAGTCTCTGAATAACTATATTCACTTGATGATTCATTATTTACTAATATTA